GAAAATATTACAATGCTTAATTTCATAGTACATGCATGAGAATTACACGTTGACAGAGAATCACCTCGTCAAAATTGAAACCCGAAAAATGGAAATAAAGGGCAACGGTGAATTCGAAGCGCGACGGTGTTGCCAGGCTTGATTCGCAGGGCTTTGATGATGGTCGCGCGGAAGCCGATGTCGCTGCCCGTGCTCGTGAACTACAAGCACAAACTTTGGAAACTACAAGCTCTGCGTTGCCGCAGAGCTTGTAGTTTCCAAAGTTGGTGCTGGTGTGAAAAACCTAGATGAGGTAGCTGGTGCCTGTGTACATTCTTGTCCACGAGGGTAAATGGGTACCTGCGCAGACCACCACCGACCAAACTCCTCTTCCGAGTGCGGACAGACCTTGAAGGAGTGAGTGCTCTGTATACCTTTATATTGTCTTGGCAAGGTAAGTTCGTGTAACCCATATCTCCCAGCGATTTGAAAACACTGAATGTGCTTGACGGACAGTCCAAGACGACAGCGCAGCCCATGGCGTCATGGGCTGCGCTGTATTGGGCAACGCGTGAAGCCGCCGGCATCGCTCTCAATGTTTTCAAATTTCAAAGTTTTCTGTGAGTGGGACATAACTCGTGAGGCCGCCGGCATCGCTCTCAATGTTTTCAAATTTCAAAGTTTTCAGTGAGTGGGACATAACTCGTGAAGCCGCCGGCATCGCTCTCAATGTTTTCAAATTTCGAAGTTTTCAGTGAGTGGGACATAACTGCGCTTTCCCCGGGAAAGCGGTTATGAACGTAACTGGTGCAAATGATTGTGTCGAACAGCAGACTCAGCCGTGTCAGACACATAATCCGAGGTCATGTCAGTGAGTGGACCAAGTACAAATAACGTCAATCGGGTTAAAGCACTTATTTTATATCCGACCAATTAATTCTCAATTGATAGGGAGAGAGCATCCAACTGCGGGAGAGTATAAGAACAGAAGCCAGAAGTACGTAGTAATTTATCTACGTGGTTGGTGAGTTGATGTTGTGAAGAACGTGAAAAGCGATCAGCTCTTTGGTGACATGAGAAGAACGAGGGGGCCTCGTGCATCGACATAGGTGTAACGGTAAGACCCTAAACGAAGACTATACAGTCCAATAAGTTGTTATAACTGGGTTTATATATAAAAATAAGGTAGATGATAGACCTGGACCCCCTTTATTAATCCTTAGGGTTTAGGGTTTAAACCCCAAACCCTCAGGACTGAATGTTATCTTTGCACCAAAAATATTCAAATTCTTTCATGTTATCACGGCTTTGTATTAATATTAATCTTTTCTGTATGTTAAGTCTATTTAAATATTTGAAAGTCATTTCACTAAGCTTCTATCATATAGTCACAAGGATAATTGATTTTACCTAGATTCTACCTATTAAACTTAAGTTATCTTCATTTTTATTATACATGAAATTTTATATATTGTACAAGTTTATATTTTTTCCATTAATGATGGTAAATGAAGTGAAAATTCTGAAAAAATATTGAAAGAAGATATAAAAGTTTAATTTGATCACAAACTAAATTATTAAATTATTCTTTGCTATTTAAAAAGCTTTGATAAATTTTGCAACTCCTTATCTATTTCTTCAATCTTTTTACACTGAATAAATTGTGTATAACATGAGTAGATTGATGAACTCTTTTTATCAATCATAGTAACTTCAGCTAAAATATTCATTTTTCACCAAATTAAAATTATTATAGTTTTTTTTTCATCTGATAGACTAGTAAAATCTACCAATGCAATGTAATGAACATGCACTGTTTTTAAACTTGTGTGTAAGATGTATTTTTCTAAATTGAGCAGGGTAATTTGCAGCCTATTGATTTTGAACATGTAAAAAATATCATGGAAATTATGTACTTTTTTTAAAGTAAAAAAAGTAACCTTTTCTTGTTTAAGTAAGTAAGAAGCTCACAGTGCTTTTTTATTTTGCATCCCGAGCTTTGCATACTTTGTTACTGTGACGCTGTCTTGGGATTTCTGTAATAATCTTGAGTCAATTATAAATTCACGCTATTCTAGCATGAGTTTATAATCGACTCGGAGCTTTCAAGATACTTACTGTGGCGGCAAAGTAGTAGCTCGTAATCGTACTCTAGTGCCTCTCGTCCTTATTTGCCCCAAGAGGAAGAGAGAGGAGAAGGAGATTGCTGAGATTCCTAATGTAGGCAGAGGCAGACTTGCATGTTGGTCTTGGAAGTATTTTTGTCGAAACTATTGCTTGCGCAGAACACAATTTGTGCAATTTTGGGCATACTCCCCAGCCCCCCCTCGCCACTTTGGCGAGGGGGGGCCTGTGAGTGAGCTGGCAGGGCGGCGACGCACGTCATGCGTCCTTCTCTGGCACTGTCCGCTGCGCGTCGTCGGCACTACTAGAAGCCGGTTGTCGTCGATTTTCTAATCGCAGCCTCTCGATCGATCCTCGCCCGCGTCTCGCCCCTCAAGGCGGTAAATAGCATGCACTCGACACATTCTGCAGCGGCACAGGGCACTCGAACAATCGATTGTTCGAGTGCCCGCTCCCGAAGGAAGAAGGAGGAGGAGGGCGAAGCAGGTTGAAATTTTTGACGGCCACAGCCTCAGCAGAGGACGAGCGATGGCGACGCACGAGTCGCATCACGTAGAGAAGCATTTCACGGCGGGGGAGTTCGTTCGCGATGTGGTCATCGGTATGTCCGACGGGCTGACAGTTCCCTTCGCCCTGGCTGCGGGACTCTCTGGAGCGGCCGCCCCTTCTTCGATTGTAGTCACGGCCGGTCTGGCTGGCTGCCGGCTGCCGGCGGAGGTGCACTCACCCGCCCAAGCCCATGGGTTGGGCGGGTGAGTGCATTCCTTTGCTTCATTCCGGACTCGATTTCTCGTCCCAGCCTCCCGCAGCCGCCAGCAATCGACGTGGACGTGGGGGAGGGGTCAAATTAGTCTTCGATTGATTCATACTCCATGCCGAAAGCAGTTCGGGACGCATCGAGTCTTGGGAGTTGCTGGCTGAAGTTCACCAGGCAGACCTAAGTGTCGACGACGATGACGCCTCCACGCCTCCACGGATCACCTTCCGATTCACTTTTGCCGGCTGCGTAGGCTACTGCCCCATCCTCAAGTGGTTCGACCTGTCGCACGCATTCAGCGCGCTGGTGAACCGCCCGAGGCAGCCGCAGGCATTCGTGTCTCTACGCCAGTGAGTCAATTTTGGATTTGAATTATCACGGGTCTACATGGATACAATGCTGATTGGGAGTTCCATCACACTTATCGTTCGGCTCCGCTCTTGAAGTACTACTGCTCAGACGTGGAAGTATCGTCTTCCACCATAGACTGCCTGATGACGGTACATACTGTGATCCCAGTCCACCAGAGCAATCCTTGACATCTGGTAATAACGTACCAGATAGTGATCTACCGGTAATTTGTGACTTCCACCCGCACTTGAAGCAGCACCAGTATTTCCCTTCTTAGACGATTCTGATGCTTGAGAAGTAGATGTCAACTGCAACTAATTTTCAAATTCGTTGGGTTCAAATTCAAAGTTTGAATTCAAATTTGAACTTTGAATTTGAGTTTTGAGAGCTGAACAGCTCGTTACTGTTGAGTCAAGCAAGGTCGAATTCAGATGGGGTTCAGGCCGAGATGGATCATGTGAGTCCGATACAACACGCACCTTCTGCATAGGAATTACGCTCGTCCACAGACAATACTGACTCAAGCGGGACAAGACGATAGTGCACATTGGTCCACCATTCGTTGTAATTTTCTGCACCTCTGAACCTGTCATACGTCCCATAGACCAGCCTTCGAAGGATTGCACGTTTCTTGATCCGTATTGTTTCGGCACTGTCATTATCATGGGCCGACATTAGGTTTCTGCATTCTGCATAGTTCTCCTTTGCTTTCTGTTCCTTGACTTTATCATAAACGTAGTACCCCGCAGCGGCCGTAGCCGTCAATGCGAAGGACGCCAAGAACTTGATAGACCCCAAGAAGACCCAGTGAGGTAATTCACTCTGTGAGCAGGAATCCAGCTCGATATTGATTGCGTTTCGGTTCTCCGATGTGATGTTAGGTGTGCTTAGTTCTCTAGTCCGTCTCATGTGGGCTGTATTTTCTGACGCTGGAATTTGTTGTTGTTGACAACAGTGGCAGTGGAATCCATCCTCGATGCGCTTTACGTGTCACTGTCTCTGGTCCAAAATAACAGCGTCTTCACACTGGGACAAAATACTGTTTTTCCCGGAGCTGACATCTGTATCGATCCATCGACGACCAATTTGACAACGGTTGCTTGCATCTCACCGAAGCTTCTTCCATCATTTGCTTTGAAGACATCGTCAGTCTAGGCATACTTTCCTCGGAGAGGAGTTGAAATATTAAGGTAGTGAGTGGAACACATTCCAGATCTAGACATATTGATTAAACACGTTGATTCGATTTGTTGTGAGTGTTGCTATATTGTTGGCACCAGTGTGGAGACAATACTAGAATAGATGTTGACAAGCGCTGCTATCTCAAAAAACCTGCCAAATATTTGTATAGATTATACTTTCTGATCTGTTCGTTTAGATTACAAGTCGATGGGAAGGCTAGATCGCTGGATATTCAGAAGAACATGTGCACACCGTTGTATATGGAAGTTCTCGTCTTGCGGAGGCTCTGAGAGCGAGAAGGGGTCAGAGCATGCAGCTTTGGAGGATAGGAAGTTTGAACGATTGCACATCCGAAAGAAGTTCATGGACCGATGACATTTCCTATCCACGATGGGATCTTCCCAACCATCTGGACATTTTCCCCCAGGTTTCTTAGATATTCACTTACTATGTAGACCATCAAATTTGTGGATTTGAAGGCAAGAATGGAGGTTGTAGATACAAATGTAGAGTATATGAAAAAATGATACACTGTGAATGTCAGTAGTCAAGATGGTGCCAGACGGACCAGTTGATTTCTTAGTTGCCATCAGCGGTTTCACAGCAACTTGAATTTGATCCACATCAAGGTGTGAAAGTAAATCAGGATCACATAGCTAATATCGGTATTAGTAATTGAAAAAGAAATCCGTATATTTTGATATAATATGTTCTATACTTAGCCTTAACAATAATAAGCTCTATAACCCTCAAGTTAGTTCAGAAACTCAGCTACGACTGTGCAAAAAATGTGAACTATATCAATTGACGTGATCCATGATGTCTCAGTACATACCGTACCCAGCCAAACCCTCGAATAACACCTGGAGCCACCATAACATAGCTGTAATCATGCCACTTTAAAAGAACGCATGAGGGTAGAGACGATAAAAGTCAAGAGTCAAAAAGTGCTAAGAAAGTCGACCATATCGACAACAACTTGTCCTCAAACCTTCTGCTTTATCAAAGTTTATTCCTACTGTGAAAACCTGAAACAACCAGGTATTGTAGATCGAAATAATCACAACTAGGTATTGTCCATTGAGAGCAAAATAATTTAACCTTCAATAATATATAATGGAGCTCCGGTAGAGTGAGGTAATGTGGTAGAGTAGCAAGGGGAGAATTGCACACGTAATCTCCATATCAAGCTCATATATCTCATGATTCAAGCTGCCTACCCTTGAATATAGTTCGCTGCAGCTTGAACTATATTGGTCACAACTTGTGTATCACCTCCTCTTGATTGTATTGTTATAGAAGGAGGCCCAGCTTTCTCCCTCCTACCTCAAGCACATTCTTTCCGTTGGAAATGAGTTGAATAGGTGACCTCCATAATTTGGAAATTGATCGATAGAAATAGTGAGGAATACTAAAATTGTGACTATATGCAAAATTCCTACAGTTTAAGAATGTATCTGATACAGGATCACTAAAATTGCTAGCCTCATCCCAAAAGCTGAAGAAACCTTGAAGCACTTCCAGATCTGACACTGCCGGGGGAGGATCTGGACCATCAGTTGACGATGCGTAGGCGAGGATGCCGTCCTTTCTTTCCAACTCGACCGTCACTGAGACGAACTTCAATCATCGCTGCAGTACTTCCCACGGCAGCGGCGGTCATACATCCATCCACCCTTCCATCCGCACAGGGCATCAGATTCTTCCGCCCATGACTTTGACTGGCACGAGCTTCTCTGTGTTGATCACACCTGCTAGCTAGAGATTCAGCTCTATCTCTATCGATCCCGGCAGCTCTACACACCCCGATTCTCGAATCTGCCATCATGATCCCGCATCGACGACTCGCGCTGAGTCACCGGGACATAGGACCAATCGCATCCACGACCGTCTTCAAACCCTCACGCGCCTGTGATGGTATATAACGCTGCGATCAGTACACAGGGTGCGTGGAGTGAGGGAGGGTAGCTCGCGTGATTTGTTCCACTCGGTGAGATGATTCGTTGATGCGATCGAGGAGAAGGAGGAGGGAATCATGTTTAGGCGTGGGAGTTCGGGGATGGAGAAGGAGTAAGAGTAGCTCGGCCTGCTCAGGTGCAGGAAGCAGGGGACCGATCACTGACAATGACTGACTGACAGACTGACTGATTTCCTCTAAGACCATCTGTTGTTGTTATAGGGTATAAATGTACCAAAAGGTTCTAACTAAGGGTTTAAAATTGGGTTACCGAGAAGAACGTTTTTGAAATTTGCAAGCTTCAAACATAAGAGTTCGCGGTAGATGATCTATGGTCACTTCACCAGTTGTGTGAATACAGTTTGCACTCTGCTCGATGCACTCTCTCATCTCGTAACTTCAGATAAGGAAATTTCTCTCGTCTTGATCCGACCTGGATTCCGGGTTACCGAGCTCCCTGTCCTCGTTAATGGAGTAGTTGTCCACAAGCTGTCCAGATTTGCGTCGCATTTGTTTCATGTGTCAAGTTGTTGAGGACGGATGTGGATGCTCAAATGCCCCGATCCGCGGGTTACGCAATTCCTCTCTCACGTGCAGTTTCGTTATACCTCCCTCTAAATTGAAATCACTGAGACATTTACTTCTGTGGCTGGGTACTGTTTGAGATCACGAAGCAGTTCTTCTTCGTCACACTAAAATACAATTCACACGGGTTGAAAGTCGAGCCCATGGTATTCAACTTAGAAGGAGAGAGATGAGGGCGAAGGCTTCCAAGTCCAAGAGTAGAAGGGAAATTACGAATCAGATACCCTTCATTATCCAGCAATTATTGTGGCCCTAATGCACGTTGTCCCCAGTCATGCAAAATGTTCTTTCTCTTAACTTGCAACTTCCAAATGACCACCTTCCGATTCTGTCCCCTTCCATGTCCTTTATCTGTGGAATTCTCACGTCCTTTTTCTCATTCAAGTACAAGAAATTGTACCAGAAAGTGTCCACAAGTTTCATGTCTCTCAGTCCCCTCCCTGTTCGACCGAAATCAAATGGGTCCAGAAACCGGCTCAAAGGACAGTTACTTGCCGAACGTGCCATGACCCCCTCCATCCGAGAGACAAGTACTTACTCTTTAGGATTTTATCAACTCCTTTGACCAGATCTGGTTTCTGTTGACACTTGAACTGATCACTGACCAGAGTATACCAGAGGAGTTTTAGGTGGCCAGAAATTTTGCCAACTAGAGAATATGAGACACAAATCGTTAGGAAAAACACATCAACTGAAAGTAGCAAGGTGCCGAGGGTCCTTGTGGAGTGAACTTTCTACCTCCTTGATTGAGTGTCCTGTCAAATCTCCAATGTACGCTCTGCCTACTGCCTGCTGATCTGTGGATCTGGACTCTCAAAAGCGTTCACATAAATTCAACACTCGGATTGTGAAGCCTGCATGAATTGGGAATGGAAATGGGAGAGAATACTCTTCGGAATGACTTACCTTTCGGAAGCTTGGGCCAGAAGTCAGTGGGGAAAGCTCCTGTCTGAGGCATCTGCGTAAAAATAGGAATAATGAACGGCACACAATTAATGCAAACTTCCGTTCGAACTTCACGAACAGGAATCAACAGGGAGCCAATTCTCAGAAGCTCAGTTCCCGAGAAATTCACACATCTTTCTGGTAACTAATTCGTCCAAGGTTGTTGTCTTGCTACTGCTAATCTGAACCCTGTTAGCCGTAAACCAAAGTGAGAAAAGACAAACATACAAATAACTTCTAGCCTGCTGCTGCTGATAAAGGGAAATTTAATTCTACAGTTCAAATCGAGGACCTTCTCTCTCTAGTACTACGAACAAACAGGAACAAAACGAATACCTTCTCCAAGCTCCGAAGTATACTGCTGGACATGACGAAATATTGCAATCTGCTACCTGTTCGAATGCTGCATATAACATCCATCGAATGTGCGAGATAATCTGCACCCTTACAGACCTCTGTATCAGAACCACCACTGGTACTTAACCGTAGAATCGAAGCAGACAGATAGGTAGATAGACATATCAGGCATGCATGCGTCGTGCTACAGAAATTATCTTTCTCTATCCGATTTTAATCCACAAGGAGAGATTTAAGGTTGGATTTGCTGTGGAAAGTTGCACTTTATGGCCGGATGTAGATGAATAGAAGACATTGTATCAATGAACTGCCTCTGCAATATACCATCTATCTACCATTCGAGCATGCGTAGAGACAGGGGACTTGAGGAAGAGTAGGAGTGATAGGTACGTACTGTGTACAAAGCTGCAATCTGCTCCAATAAACCTCTAGCACTCGCAGCACTGTTTGTGATTCGGTGTCCTCTCACAACGGGACGGCTGACGCTGGCTCAAGTTTCGATTGCTCCTCATCGCTAAGCGGGAGAGATATTTGTCATATTTGTACTTTCGAGACAACCTGTATTTAATCCACGGAGTACCTCTTCTCTCTCATCGTGAGACGCAACCCTTGCACACAGACTGTAGATGTCAGTCAGTTCATTTGGGAGAAAATAAAATGGACTTACCGGTCCACATTTGAATGTCATTCTTCATCGTTGTGAGTGGCACGGTTTCCATACCATTCACTACCATTCCAGATTATCCTAAGGTTGTGTCAATAAGCTCAGGACTGAAGAATTTGAACCCCAAAGAACAGCTATCATGAACAAGCTCCAGCACATCTATTACCACAATCAACGTAAGATAAAGGCAGATTCAAGATAGATAGCATTGCACTTCGGATAAATCACTTTAAAACTCATTTCACTCTGCTCTTAAATTGAAAATTCACGCGGTAGACTGAAGTTCTTGACCTCCAAAGAAGCCTGTTCCCGAATTGCCTGATCATCAAGCGAGTGACAATTTTATAATCAATCCACGTTTATATCATAGTCTACGCACGATTGAGGGACGAGTTTCAGGTCAATGAAAAGACCGTGGTCAGCATCAGCCATCTTTGGCGTCAAAGGCACGGAAATTACGACCACGACCACTGCACACCTATTGCTTGAAAGGGCCAGGGGATGCGCATGAGCATAGTCCACCGTGGTTCCAATCAATGAGACTATCGTACGAATAATATGATCAAATATGGAAAACCGTGCGCGCCTAAAACTGTTCACAGGATGAACTACATAGTGCATTTAATAAATTCTCGATTCAAAACAAGGGTCAGATATCACAATCCTGTTTCTCTCTGACTCGTCCTCTTCCCCACTAACGGCGGTCCTGGAGCTCGGGTCAAGGTATGTTCATCTGGCTGGCCGTCCTGAACTAAGGAACTATCTTTTCTCTCTTCCCCATCTCAGCAAATTCAATTTACTGTTAGTCAGTTATATACTACGGACTTACGAAAGTGATCAGAAGGACTCAATCTGAAGAACATCATGTACTTATACCATTGCCTTGCTGCCCAATGGCCGGAAGAATTGCTGTTCTCTTCTTATGCAGCCACATTTCAGATTAGATCCAGAAGAAAAGAGAACTTTGACAGTGAAACGAATTGATGCTGTTGGGATATTTACAACCCATTCGTGATCCGTGTAGTACATCGATCAATCTTAAAAACGAATTCCACGATTCAGAATAGGATTGAAACAAATTTTAGGTGAACACATCTTTCCCTGTCGAGCTTCCTGGGTTTTTTTAACGTACAGAGAGTTTCAACCAACTGAAAAAGTACACATTTGAACCATGGTTATCTTCCAACAAGATTCGCTCTACTATCTCACCAGCTCTTACGATGAAGCTAAACTACAGAGAGTCCACATACAGCGGAACGTACCATGAAATATATATATATATGAATATTATTTCTTAGACAACTTGAAATTCCTACTCGGTTGGCACAGTGTTTGCGATATGCCTTCCGAGATTTTCATAACTTCAATTCTCGAGAATCGAAATTAGCAATCTTCAGTATTTCTGAATCAAAGGATATCTATAGTAGACAACAAAAAGCACAAAAGACATTGTTGTATTTGACTTATTTGAATCTATTTGAATAAATATTGATTTGTAAAGATAAAAATCTTTACGATGAACAAGCAAAAATTTCATCCTGTCAAAACTTTCTTTACTGGTTCACTTTAAACAGCGACACAGATGTTCAGAATATCTTCAAACGCAGGTTATAATCATTTTTTAATATATAATATGCTCAAAATGATAGTGCATTTTACTTTACAGAGGTATTACTAAAAGAATTTGAACAATCATATTATTATGTCTTTTAACTATTCTATGTATCATATGATAAGAATTAAATTTTACTCCGAAGCGCCTCTTTACATAAATTGGTGCATACCCCGCAATCTGTCATTTGAAGGGTGGAGATAAGTTTGCTTATATCCCAACGAAAAGTATATGTAAATTCTGTTCATGTAGGTACACAATAAACGGATTAAACGGATAGACAGTAGTAACATACGCAGCAGATGGATTCCTAGAGTGGCCTCTGTGTGCAGTTTCACGGCATTATCTTCTTCACTTCAAAAACAACAGTCAAACCGTTGGGTTGCTTAGCAGGTATGATAGGTTACAGCATTTTTGGAATGCATGCGAGCCGTACTACAATCACCCCCACAACTTCTGACCGTTCTCTTGAAAATCAGAAAGCTACGGAAGGACTCGTCAAATTTTAGTTACAGATAGACGGCCTCACCTCTTTCGCTCAAAGATATTCAAGTTTTCAGAGCCATGCGCTCGAAGATGCGAGTTGGTTACCTGTTTCTCCCTGTAACCTCCACATTTTCGCAAATCCTTACTGAAATCCAGATCTTTTTTATTCATCCGTTATGAGTTTTAAAATTTTTCATATAATATGATCCCAGTCCCCGCAACAAACTGTAGTCAGAAAAAGCAATAATTCAATGATGTCTAGATTTGTAAGAAGCTAAGAGTGGAGACTCTACCGAGTTTGGTGGTAAATTCAATACATGAAAAGTGTAGCTTTTTTCGTCTCTACTTTCGTTGATAATGCGTACTGTCCTATCTCATCTGAGAAATTAATCTTAAAAATCAAAATATATGGTCACCTCGGGTCACAAGTAATCAATCAAACCAGAATTGTAGACATTATTTTTAGTACCAACGTATTTTTAGTACAACGTGCCTTTGAATCTGGATGTCCAGATGATCCACAATTAAAAGTTATCTTAGCTCCTAGCACATACCGTCTCTCATCGTAGAAATATTGCAGATCCAATATTTTAAAGATTTGAATAAATATTTCTTATAGGTGGTGATAATGAGTAAATCTATGTACTCATTACCGACTCATGTACTGTAAAGAAACGAAATCTCATGATTGAATTACTTGATTCTTGTGATTCTCATTATAATCGTTCACTGCATACTACGATACAAACTTGGGGAATTTTGAAATATGTCTATGGTCAACTTTGGAAGGATAGCAAAGACCTACTTTTCTTCTTACATTAGTATATGACGTGTATCAGTCTACGGAATACTTGGAAATCCTACTGATGTGACGATTTCATAGTCGTTTGGCTGCATGCCCATACCTTACGTTTAATGAAGATCTCATCTCGTCAATAAGACATCTGCATCATTATTCAACGTGAGCAGGTTGAGCTTTATGGGATGTGC